TTGCTGTGGTGCTTCAGGTAAGTCCTACCAGTTAGTAGGTTCTTTTTTGCACCGCATTTTCGTTCTGAAGGGACGGATCGGGAACGGGTGCGCACCGATTCCCAGATGTTGCGGTGGGATCGCACCCGTTTGCTGTGCCCCCAATCCATCCCTCTTCCGGGCCAAAACTTCCTGTGTGACCGGGGCTTAAGTTTTCTGTTTAGCAAGAAGATAGCTATGGAGGGAGAACATAAAAGGTTTATGAAATTACTCGTGGGGTGGAGAAAATGAACATAACATAAGAACTTGAAGGCATCTGATGAAGTTAATTCTTAGCACTTACAGCAGACTCTAATCTGAAGAGCTGGGTTTGATTCCCCACTCCTCCACATGTAGCCAGCTGGGTGACCTTGGGTCAGTCACAGCTCTCTCAGAGCTGTTCTCTCAAGAGCAGTCCTTGAAAGAGCTCTCTCAGCTCCACCTACCTCACAGGGTGTCTGTTGTGGGGCGAAGAAGAAAATGCGATTGTAAGTCGCTCTGAGACTCCTTTGGGTAGTGAAGAGCAGGGTATAAAACCAACTCTCCTTTTTCTCCTTCTTCTCCTCCTCCTCCTCTTTCCAGGCTGAAATCGATAAACGGACTGAAGCAGAAGCTGAATCGCCACGCTGTGGAAATGAAATCCTTAAAAGAAAAATGCGATTGTAAGTCGCTCTGAGACTCCTTTGGGGTAGAGCAGGGTATAAGACCAACTCTCCTTTTTCTCCTTCTCCTCCTCCTCCTCCTCTTTCCAGACTGAAATCGATAAACGGACTGAAGCAGAAGCTGAATCGCCACGCTGTGGAAATGAAATCCTTAAAAGAAATTAGCAGTCAGCTTTCACAATCCAAGGAGGCAGACGAGGTCACTCGAAGGTGGACAGTTATGGAAGCCTTATGGAATGAGACCAAGCTCTCCATTGCTGAAAGGTAGGAGGCTTAAGCGGGCATGATCGTACACAACACCTCTCTTTCCTTGGTAACTGTCAAAGGTTCCCAGTCCCGTCCTGGGCCAAGAATCTTTGTTTAACGACTGCAGAATATGAAATCACAACACCCTGGGGTGCGACCCCTCGGACACCAGTCTGGTAGTCTGCCACCAGCCCTTTAGACTATCCCAACAATCAGAAGCCAAGGGGCAAGCCTCCGATCTTCCCGGGGCTAAACCAGAAAGTCAGCCCTGTAAGGTAGACTTGCAGAACGAGTTTCTCACAAAAGCAATTAGCCTGGTAACGTGGTCAGCCAGTCTAAGAAGCTGGATTTAGACTGAGGCTAGTTGAAGGCAAATAACCACAAAAGTAAAGCAAAAATATATTTTATTAGGGCGCAAGAATATTTCAAGATCACAAAAACCTGTGAGGATAAGACAAGAAAGCTAAGATTTCAAGAGCTAGCGAAAACAGTAATACATTGGTTCCAGATATCAGATGTTGAGAACATAAGAGAGAAGCTAATGTTGGATCAGGCCAATGGCCCATCTAGTCCAACACTCTGTCACACAGTGGCCAGAAATACCAGGTGCCATCAGGAGGTCCAGCAGTGGGGCCAGGACACCAGAAGTCCTCCCACTGTTGCCCCCCCCCCAGCACCAAGAATACAGAGCATCCCTTGCCCCAGCCTGAGAGAATGTTACCATTCTCAGTAGAAAATTCCAGTAATCCAAAGTGGCTGTCTCCAGCGTCAGCATAGCCAGGAGCTGTCTGGCCCGCACAAGCAACATTCAAGATGGCCACCATGAGCAAAATAATGACTGCATGGCAGAATCTCAAGACAGTCACCACTGAGCTAAGGAACAGACTAGAAAGCTACTTCTTTATGGGCAAGGGGCCCTCGTGTTCTCAGGCCTGAAAGACCAATAGGGACCCTAGGTGGTGATGTATTTAATTAATTTCATTAAACTTATATCCTGCCCTCCCTACATTGTAGGCTCAGGGTGGGTACCAACATGTATATATCTGCAGTTAATGCAGATTTACAATTTAAAACAATAACAATAATCAGTTAAAAACCACCATCGACTTCATTCAATAAGATCACCAGTAATTGAAAGAACAACACGCCTCGCAGCAGATAGTGTGGTCCCAGTCTGGCTTTCAGGATCTGCAGTCAGTGGGGGAGAAGCCCAGTCACAAATGGATGCCCACTGCCTCAACGTTAGACCTGGTGGAAGAGCTCCGTCTTGCAGGCCCTGCGGAACTGTAATAGGTCCCACAGGGCCCTGACCTCATAAGGCAGCTCATTCCACCAAGCAGGGCCTGTATAGCCAGTTTGCTAGGCCAGTGGCTAAGCAGATGACCTAAGCAGTGGTCTGACCTGGGGAGGAAGAATTGAAACTATCTGCAGCCCTTTCCCACAGGTGCAAATCGTAGGCCTTAATTGAATGTCATGTGGCTAATTGGAAGCTGGTACCTGGCTCCTTGACTCCCGTCTGCTTCTGGGTATTATCTGCAGTTTCAGAAGGTCAGCTTGTTCTGGCTTAACAAGTTTTCTGGACTCTAATAAGTCACAAGTAGGCCGCACAGTGAACCAAACTGTCTAAATGGACAAGATTTTTAGGGAACCAGTTTTCATCGCAGAAATATTGGTTGAACCAGGTCTGTACATTCAGAGGAATCGCAGAATGCACCTTTCTCGGACTCTGCTGCTTCAGAATGTAGGGAGGAGGCAGGACGTTTGCGTACTGAGTCAGACCATCTCACTGAGTGTTGTCTGCTCAGGCTGGCAGCAGCTGTTGCGGGTCCAGGCAGAAAAAGCTGTTTCCTAGTGCTTAGTACCTGAAGACCAAACTACACATTAGATTTTGTAATGAACTAAGTACAGAGCTCCAGAATGGAAAGAACTCCACGACGGGGCAATTTCAGCTCAGGAAAAAGGCTCAGAGGGGAAGGCAGGGACCCGCCTCCCACCCACGTGGCAGTCCTGAGCTGAACTCGGCCCCTACAGACCTTTAAAATGCCGTTCCCCAGACCTGACTTGTTATAAAACGTAACATGTGGGCTTGCTGAGAAATCTTTTAACTCGAGAATCCTCCCCTTCAATTCCACTCCACATCAAAAACTTTCTGCCTTTGTGCTAAAAGCCAGATTCTTTGATCAGTGGTGTGATCACAGCCCTGTGAAAAGTGAACCTCTCTGGGCTTAGACAGACCCGCAGATGTGTTAATCGCTTCTGTTGCTTCCTTTCCAAAGGCAGGAGCAGTGCGCTCAGGCGATAGAGCTCTTGAAGCAATACCACAGCTGCAAAAGCTGTCTGGAAGGCATTACTCAGGAACAAGAGCGTATCCTGTCCCAGCAAGCATCGTACATGGGGAAAGAGAACCTGCAGAGGACGATGGCCAAGGTGAGTCAAGAGGGTCCCCTTTTTGCATTTGAGTCTATTTGTGGTTCCATGCAAATGAAAAAAAAAATGCAGAAAGTTGTGTCAGAGTTTAAAAAACGGGAAAGGTTCCTCTGGCTGAAGATACAAGCTTGGATATGCATGAACATGGCCTGGTGGAACCAAGGAGGCGAGACGGCAGCCGGATGTGAGTTCCACTGCTCTAGACCAAATCTTCACTGCTTAGTTCCCAAGGATAGCCATGTTGGTCTGCAGTAGTACAGCTAGATTTGAGTCTTATTTATTTATTTATTTATCAAATTTATACCCCGCCCTTCCCCGTAGGGCTCAGGGCGGCTTACAAAGGCAAGTTAAACTTGCTACAATAAAACATAATATACTTATAATTTAAAAACACACTATACAACTTAAAATCTAGTCCTAATTCAAGTAAAGTGCTCAGTGATCTTCAAGGACTCCAAAATCCAAAGATGACGGAACAATTCCAAGAAGGTTCCTGGTGAACAGTCTATGGCTTCAGTATTCAGATGTTTATTCAGATGTTTATTCTCAGGGCCTCTTCCAACCCACCACGATGGTGATATAGTGGGGGGGGGGGCCCTACTCAAAAGCCTGGTGGGAGTTGACATGCTCATGACTCTCCGTAGAGGCTTGCCTTAAACTGCCCTCGCTCCCAGGGGGTTTTGAAGGTGTAAGGTGTCCACACTTGTTGTTTGTTAAACATTTTGCAGTCTTTGTGGACAGGCATTGGATCTGTGAAAGTATATTCTGGGTTCCTTAAAATATGCATTCCACAGTTCTAGCAATCAGAATTAGTAGATAATCTTCCCTGGGCTGATGAGCCTCCTCGGAGGGAGGGCAACATACCCTCCTTATCAACCTCCAGAGCCTCAGAGATCTCAGGGCATTATTCTAACGTCAAACAACTGGAATCCAGTAAAGCAAAACGATTAGTCGTTTCCACAGCGTACGCAGGTAAAGACTGGGTGCTTTTTCCCTCTCTAGTATCGTTGCCAGCCGGGTAAACGAAATCACCAATTTTAGGTTGTTTAGAAACTGGTAAAGGAGAAATCTCCTCCGAGTCTCTCTGATGCTTTTCTGGAGGCATAATAAACACAGGCTTCAGTGCAAGCGAAAGTTAGTTATTTAGTTCTCCATAGTCATAAATCATTTCTTCACAAGCTTCACTCCCAAATTCCTCAGGTAAGGATTCCACAGTTCTTGGTATCAAAATACACCAACGTCTACTTAGCCGTTAACTGTGGCCATGCACAGTCAGCTGAGATAAAAGATATTATTCCAGGATGTATCATTAAGTACCTTGTTTCTGGCATCGGTCGGACATATAGTTAAAAGCTGCTTGCAGCAATTTAAACAGTTAAACAGACAGAGTACCGGAGAATAATCTTGAGCGTGTTTCATACTGTCGCCATCTTGGATCCTCCACAGTTTGTTCGTAATCGGCATCATATATCTGTTGCGGGAATTGTCCCGGGTTCACTAGATAAGCCCCACCTTTGTTTAATGTTGCCATGGGTGGGGCAAGAGAGACAGCCCTCCAACAAATGATATTTGGGATCTATCCAGCTCCAACTTCACAGGCAGGTTGACTTTGCAGCTGGTGAGATCATGATGTATTCTGTAGGGGGAGCTCAAAAATGAGAGAATTCTGCACTTTAGTGGCGATTTCTTTTTTAAACAAACACAATCAGGAAGATGCAAGGAAAACCTACCGACCATTTACAGTTTGTTCTTTTTTGGTCTCGCTCCTCCTATTTCCTTCTTTATACTTTATTTTTAAATTTTTAAATACAAACAAAGAAACAAATCAGTTACAATACAAGAACGATAACAATGAACAAGAATAATAATAGCAGTCTGCGCTGAAATGATATAAGGATAGAAATAAGAAAGCTATGCAAGAACTTTTAGTTTGTTGCTGCAACTTTCGCCTTAAGTACTATGTCATAATTTTATACTGGTAAACTTTATGTGTAGCCTAACAAGCTAACTATTCAGTTAGCATTATTCAAAACAGCAAAAGCAAAACTATAATAGAAACTGTGTAACAATATTTTAAATCTAAATGTACATTAAAATATCATAGTACTGGTTCACTGAGTGTCACTCTTTATATCCTCTTTAGACAGAAATTCTAATACTGGGCACCATTGTTCCAAAGAATTGAAAGTCTGCATTCCCAAATGAAAGATTTGA